TTTGTTTTCTTTCAGCAAACAGCGTAGGGGGAAAAACCCGCAAAGCATAAGTGCCAATCTGACAGAAACTGTGCAGAAATCTGTCTAAAATCCCATAAAAAAGAAAGGACTGTACAACTGCCCTCTGCAGATCAGAGTGCTCACTCCTTATGGCATCTTACACAATCCACTGCGCCTCAACAGTGTTCACTTCAGCTCTGACCTAGGCTCTCACTCAGTAACCTCTGACTCCCCTGCCCCTCAGGCACAAAAACCTCTTAACTGAGCACAGAGTGCATAATCTGAGTGCTCTGGGGATGGAAATGAAAACCTGAGTGCTGCTTTCATCCCAGGGCATATTTTAGAGAGGTTTTCTCAGTGCAAGTCCTTATCATGCGCCTTCCCTATAATTCGTCACATGTTCAGAGGCCAAACAAATTATCCTGTAATCCAGGGGGAAAGGATCAAAGCTGGTTCTTTCTGCCTTATTGCATTTGCTTCCACAAGTCAAGGAGGATATATCTGTGATAAGAGTACAGAGGAATGATCACGCAATAACTCTGTGCAGCTTTGAAGCAGGGATAATCAGGGCAGAGCTCAGTTAACCTGGATGCTGATTTCTCTTCCAAGGAAGATTTTTTTGAGCAGTGAGTAGTAGGAAGCTCTGCTTCCCATGTGGACCATCAGAGCAGCAGGACCATGCTCTGGAGCACTGCTGAAAACGCTTTTCTATATTCATAGTTCTGCTGGTCAAGTTTTAAACTGTGTAGGCTGTGTAAGAAAAGCTCCCCAATTCACCTTTATGTGGTGAAAATTTGGGAGATTTTGATAAAATTAAATTTTGAGCTATCGCTAATCAGTGGAGCAAAACTTGTGTACGATCTGCCAATATACATTTTTGTTACCAAGATGATGGCATAACAGTTACTGGCACTCAGATTCCCTGGTGTAGCTCAATTGATTTGTTAAAACATAGACATACCAAATGACATTTTATACATTTTAGAATACCACTTGCATATTGTACCATGTCATAGGCAGAAAGTAGAGCCTCATATCTAAATTAATGTTATTTTCTAGCTCCTTTGTTACCTGTGTAGGGGTTTAGTCAGAGAAGCAGAAAACAAGAATAGTGGAAGCACTGTAATGGTCCTGCCTTGCAGCTGGGATGCCATTATGATAAATCCTAAACAAACAAGATGAAATTACTGTCAGCAGCTCCAATCTCTAGCTGTTAAATTTCTTCCTCTTCATAGATCAGAACTTGGGAAAATTCTGGACCATGAAAGATTTAACAATCAAGACAGGAGGATCAAGGTAATTCTACAGCCATTTTTATATGCTTCACTCAGTGATAAAAGCAGCTTTCTCTATGTTTCTTTCTAGTTCTATAATATGCATTTTCTTTTCGATCCTTTCAGTCTGCAGCTGGGGTGGAAAACAAGAAAACAAGCCCCAGGACATTACAAGGACACACTGCACCACTGTAATGGTGCACTACAATTTTAATTGCAGGCAGTTCCTATTTGGAACATTTTCTCCCATTTGGAAAAAGTACTGCAGTAAGGAACAGGCCTGTGGATCTCATCAATTATAGAGAATTCTTATTCCCAGGTAGCACTGATTGCACAGTCAGGCTTTGCTCCAGGTACTAGGGCAAAGTGGAAACATGATGTTTTTACACCAGGGATGTGTATCAATGTAAACAAAGGCACAATAAAAGCATGCACTACTGAAAATCATAGATGTAAGCATTCAGCCCTCTCACCTTTTAATTTGTTAAAAAGGTAATTAGCAAAGACAATTATGAGATAAAGGCAATTTATTTTATGGATAATTGCATGCATTTCCAGTATGAGTAGATTTAGAATGGTTCACAAAAGTATTAAAGCCATTCATCTCATTAGCTTGCTTCCTGACTATTCAAGGTTTCTCTTCCCACTCAGCAGTCTCAGCTTTGCCAAATGCTATCCAATGGAAATTCGTACCCATACTTTGGGCACCATGGCACAGCAGTTGCAAAAGCCTGATGTAAATTCTCTAAAACTACAGATCACATTATCCTGCATGAGATGCTTTTGTGAAGCAGTAACACAGTGCATTAACTCAGCCATGCGTCGCAATGGCAACGTCCTCTATCACTTAACAGGGAAACATAACATAAAACAAGAGTGCCTCCTTCAAAGTTTGTGCCATTTCCAAGAGCCTGAACTTGCTGCAGTACCAAAGCAGCGCTGCTAACACCCTCATGTTCAGCAAGAAGGGCCCCTCTGCCTCTCACTCTGCCCCCACCCAACAGGTGAGAGGTAGAACAACCTGGGAGGGACACAACCAGGCAGATAACCCAAATTAACTGAGGAAATATTCCATACCCTGGAACATCCATAGTGCTCACCAACAGAATGGAAAGCAAGAAATTTCAGAGGGGTTGGCCTGTCTTTTCCTCAGGAACCAGCTGGGCACTGTTCTATTGTGGGAGGAGAGGAATTATTGCCTTTCCATAGTTTATTTCAACGCCTTCTTGCCTCTTTTTCCACTTATCCTTCACTTATTAAAGAGGTTTTTTGGTGTTTTCCTCACCCCCAACATTTCTTACTTCCACTTTTCCTTTTCTCCTCTCCTGGACCACAGGCAGGGTAGGGAAATAAGTGAGGGAGCAGCTCTGTGGTGCTTGAGTGGTCACCATGGTTAACCCACAACGCTAAGCACTGAAAATAAATCATTAATAGATGACTGATGCAAAGGGCTGAAACAGGTAAATTTGGTGTAAAATCCAAGTGTCTAATCACAGAAAAAGACCACAGAAATGTCCCAAGAAGCCATAAGTGAAGAAAATACATAGCCAGAGCACAACAAAAACTGAAATGACAAATGTGCTCTCTGATGTACTTGGGAGGCAGCTTGTCAGCTATGAAATAAATAAATAATACTACATTACATTTCTGCAGTGCCCTTCAGTGACACAGACCAAGGTGCTTTGTCAGGTGAAACACAGCAGAAGCAAAACAGTGCTGGTACATCAATGCTTTTCCCATGCAGATGCAAAAATGCCCCAGTAGAACTGAACTAAGTTAAAATTATTTTAAATAAAGGAAAGTCATTATCATGGGAAATAAACAGAACCTACTCTTCACAACTTCAAGTTAGAATTAAAAAACAGTCAAAGGGGAAAAAAGGCTTGTGGAAGTCAGCAGCATTAACAGCCAGGATCAGAGGTGATCAAAGTAGGAAGCAAATGAATGCTTATGCAGTTATGCATGTAAAGCTGTAATGAACTAATTTAAAACAGCAGCTTTCATGCTCCAAGTATTTCCTAAGGAACAGATTTAATCCATATTAAATACAAACACAAGGGCTCGGAGTCAGGCACTAGTGTAGAGAGAGTAAAAAAAGAGGTCTGAACCATAAAATACAACATGTCCACTCTCATTAGCATTTAACTGTTACAGAATGTGCCCTGGAGTTGGAGTTTAGAGTCCAAGATCTGCTCAAGTGGTTTACCAACCCTGACCGTGGTTTTAGACTCTGGAATTCTTGGTTCCACTTGAAAAAAAATTATTTTTTTATATATTATATATATCATAATTCACTTATGGCCTGTACTTGTAACTATTTGTCAACAAAGGCTGAAGGCACAAATGATATAAACAAAGCCCTGTATTTACCAAAATACCTCGAATGACACCCATTACACTTGTTCAGCTTTCAGACACATGATTTCATCAATACAGCTCATCCATTAATGCAGCTATTCCGGTGGCATTTTGTAATATAAGGTAGATACAACTCTTCAGGTAATATCAAAATCCTCGGAAATAAAAACCAACTGCAAGATGAAAAGTCGTCGAGTGGGTTTTTAGAGGGATAACAGTCTGTAATTGGTCATTTGCTGAAGACCTGGAGCTGTGAGCACATCGTGGGCTGACTGCAGAGGGAAGGGAGAGGACTCGAGGGTGCAGAGCTCTGGCACTCAAGGCAGGATGGACAATTCATTCCATTTACTCATCTCATACTCATCTATTTTATCTGATCACTTTTGATTAATGCTGCAGTTCCCACTTTGTACTTTGACTAGAGAACTCTGATGAATGTAAATAGGGTGAAAAAGTGAATTACAAAGGTCACAACAAGAAAAAATGAATTTCAATAGATCAAGCCATTTGAGAAGTCATAGCAGTCCTGAAACGTTCCCACTAATTGGAAAAGGGGAAATGCAAAACAGGAAAATAGGAATACCCAGGGAACTCCAGCTGCCCTGCTGGGGAGCTGACTCCCCTTAGTGTGAGGGGGAAGCTGCTAATCCTTAACCACGCTGAGATGGCGGAGATACTCCCCTGCTGCTGGTGAAACAAGCACACTGACAGCCTGTTATCAGCGCTTCAAGTTTGTCTTGTTCCCTTGGGATTTGAAAGGAGCAGAATTTGTCATTCTGCCAGTCCTATTACATTATCACATGAATGTTATCACCCAACAATTACACACAGGGCTGAGCAACTTTGCTGCCTCGGTATTTGATGTGAGGTACTTCTTCCACCATTTGACATGTAAGGTTTGAAAATCAAAGCAGCCTAATGTATTAGTAGCATAAGTACACAAATTCAAATATCCCACACTCTGGTTGGATTCATCCCACCCGTCTGGGAAATTAAAGCAGTCACTTCCATCTTCCTCTGCAGTCAAAGCACAGAGGGCAACTCCGTGCATCAAAGACAAGTTTGATCTGTGCTCCCAAGTGCAAATGCCACACAACAAACAACACTACAATGTAATTTTACATCACAATTATGCTCCCTTCAGATCAAATATTCATTGAAAAAAACACAAAAACATATGCTCCATCAAGTTAATGAAAGAAGTCTGATAAAACATTGATAAAATATCAAGAATGCAATTTGAATTTCAGGAAAATTTGCAGGCCTGAGCTTTCAGCTCTTGCTCAAAATGGAACAGGCCTGAAGGTTGTGTGGCACATCCATCAGAGTGCAGGAGTGCAAAGCAAAGGGTCCAAATGCTGCTCCTACCTGAGCTGTCAAGCCGCTGGTTGATCTTAGGAAGGCCACTACTCCTTTCTCTCTCTCCCAGCTATCCAAATTTCAGCTGGAATTATATTTCCTGAAGTGTACCTACAGGGTGTAATGTAAAAAACATTGTAATAACAGTAAAGACTCCTTAGGTACTCTCCTAACTATGCTAATGTGCCTAAATCAACTTTGCATACTGATTACCATTCTAGAAAACATCTGCTGCCTCCACTGACTCCTAACTTTCCTCTTTCAGCATTTCCTGCAGGTTTATGGCTTATCTTTTATGCATATTGATCACAGTTTCAGCAGTTTCAAGTTAGTTATTTCTGACATCAACAAGGTTCTGAAATCAATACACACTGAAATCTGAGCATGAAAGCCAAAGGAAATTAAACCAATGAAGCATAGGACAAAATGATATCGTTTACTCATTTTAAGTTAGTCATGAATGTCCATTAGAGGTGTAAAATATCAGAAAACTTTCAGAACCAAAACTGCTTCCTTAGAGCAAGATATTTGCTGCTTCCATTGTCCTGAGTGACCAAAAAAAAACCCAGCCTAACATGGTGTAATGGCAAAAAGCATCTTAATTTTACAGAAATGGAGACCATGACCAGATGGAACACCAGTTCTTCTTCTGAACTGTAACTTTTGAAATTTAATTTTTGAAGGAGTTGGAGGTTTAAAAGAGGAGACACACTTTTCAATTCAAGGAAAATATTTGCATAAAATTATTTTTTAAATCTTTTAATTTAGGGGAAATTAAAAAAATATATTATTACTAAAGAAATCCTTAGAATTTTGTAATATCCAACCTGTACATTGGCACAGATTTTTTGTCTTTAAACGAGTATTTTTCGTGCATGCCAAAGGCACATACAATGGCACTGGAGTGGGAGGGCCAAGGGTGCTGAGGTTTGGAAAATATCCAGCCACAGAGCAACTTCAGACATGAATCACAACTGGAGGAATCATTTTACAATTTTCTGTCATAGCATTTGGCATCTCTCTCATTAGCAGATTTACCAATTTTCTGCTTCTCAATAGGAATATTTTTTGTCAGTTCTCTCTCTCGTATAAATTATTGCTAATAATTAAAATGAAATTCATAAGATGTGTGAGTTCATTAACTCCGTTAATGAGAAAGAACATTTTGGACCTTATTATTAGACTGTCATCAGTATCTGTTCGACAGCTAAATTAATAAAGTGATTATATTCAAATAACTCAGGCATTTGCATTTTATTTTTAACATTACACATCTCTCTGGCTTGCTCTGAGACTGGGGAAAGTTTGCTGGCCGTGCAGGAGCCCAGTCTGGGTGGATTTCAGTGCCCTGGATGCACTCAGGGGCTCAAACTGCTGCGGGCCAGGCAAGGAGCCTCAAGGAATGACTCAAGCAAGATGTACAGTACAGACATCCCTTGAAAATAAAGATATTGTGGTCTCTTTACTGCCACAAAGCAAAAAGCCTGGAAGAAAACTGTAGAGAAGAGACATTTTTTATCCATGAAAGCATCAAGATAAAGCAAGACACAGCAATAATTCTCTCCTGTACTGCACTCTTGGAATACCACCGGCCTTCTGTGAAAAACATCCACTGGCTAAAAGCAATACTCAGAGTGGAACCAGGGCTCCAGATGTCTCCAGTTCCTGTGAACAGCCATGGGTGTTTTGTAATGAGCTCATTGTCCATCTTTCCCAGAAAGAGCCTCCAGCTATGCAGGGCCCTTCAGGGCTTTCCTGGGACACTGGTGCAGTCAAGGCACAGAGAAGACTCAGCCTCAGCTCAGAGAAATGCTGCTATTCTGAAAATCATATGTCAGATGGGGGAAAAATGGTACCAGGTAAAACATAAACGCATAGATCATATTAACTCAAAATCTACACCTGATCTTTAGTAACATGAGTCTGCTTTATACATATCCCTCCAGCTGAAATTTCAGAACTGAAGTTTTTGCTCCCAAATGTTATTCAAGACAATACAAGCAGCTTTTCTACCTCCACCTCCTCAGCACTAAAGAAAAAAGTAATGACTTTTCTCCCCTTCCTCACATTTCAGAAGTCACAAGCTTCACAACGGAAAATAGTAATGGAAAATAAAACCGACATATCCAGTGTGGCTCCTGCATGAACCAAAATAGACTTTAAATTTCACAGTCTTTAAAGCCAAACAAGGTAAACTGCTGCTTTTTAAGATGCTGTTAGATTTACCAAAGCCACGTGGAAAGAAACTACTTGAGTGAGATCAGTTGCTCAACAGATAAGTAGAGAGGAGGTAAGTGGAGGATTTTTTCAATTCAACTGAGACGTGGTTCTGTCTCAGAACTCTGTCTCCATGGTGCCTTCCAGAAAAGTGCAGCTGATGAGGAATTTAAAGCACTGCTTCTTCTACTGAGCCTGCTCCAGTTACAGAGCTCCGGTACTTACAAAGAGAAATTTAGCTGAGAAAATAACAGCACCTGTGCAGCTGCTTCAATATCTATGCCACGGCTTATTTCTTTCTTTGGGGCTGCACTCAGCTGCACAACTGAGCACTGCAGCAGTTCCATCCAATTCATCCCAGAGATAATGAGTGAGCTAAGGGGTGCATTCAGATGGTTACACAAAGTGGGGCTGGATGCTTTGGCCTGAACCAGGGCTGTGGGTCCCAGTGAGGATGCAGAGGCTCCACAGGAGCTCCCCCCAAGCACCCCAGTGGATCCCCTGCAAGGTCTCACGAGGACATCCATCCTATCCTGTGCCCATCCATCCCACCTCCTATTCCACTGTCCATTTATTCACAGTGACAAAACACAGCTGATGCACGTGGCAAGCTCAGAGCCCAAGAATTTTTACTGGTGGAGCTGAGAGAGGAGGGATGGTGCAAGCTCTGCTATAAATCCAAAAAATCCAGTGGGCATCCCTGCAGCAAACACTCCTCAAATAACTTTGAGTCCAGCTTGATGGCAGCTAAACAAAGCCCAAACCAAACAGCAGCTCCTCAGGGATCCCAAATGTGGCACCAGTGCAGAGCTGGAGTCAAACACCACAGGCAGGCAAGAGGCTCTTGAGCAAAACCCTGCAATTTGCCATTCTGGAATAGTCTAACATCACTTTAGCCACAAGACAAGAGCACATTAAACATTGTCTGGCTCCTCACAGAACAGTCACACAGCTAACCAACAATCCAATTCAAATGTCTGTTAGCAATCCATGCAATCACTATCCTAAAACACAATATATTCTTCTCTATTTGCTAAAGCAAATCTCATCAATGACCAACTCACTTACAGTAAAAAAGCAAAGGAATGTGTGTGTTGCTCTATTTTTCCTCTCACCAGGAGATGCTATTTAAATCATTCATCCAATTACATGTAGTAATCAGAACTAACACAAAATAGTATGTACAGCATTATATCTTTGGTTTTCTGTGGGAAGAGCACCAATAGTACATAGACTCAAACTTCCAAACACAAATGCAGTACTGTAACTGATATAACCAAGTGGAACAATTCTTTTTCCCATAGAAGTGTAGCAGACATTTCTGGACAGAGAGGTGGTATCTTACATAACAGCTTTTTTGAAGTAGGAACTGTATTTGCATTTAATATCAAAGCAGGGTTTTATCAATGACTGTAATTCAAAGTGAAATGTCATTCAGATTCTGTACGTACAATTTACTACCTTTTATTGAAAAGCTGTTAACTCTAATGATATATCTATCTTTAATAACTCAATGAGGAATATTAAGGATAGGCTGAGATCCTCCAACCTAACTAAAATTATGGCATAAGAAACCTGTTCTGATTTAACGTAACATTATATTTCACAAGGCTTTTAATGGGAATGTTTAATTTATGGCTTAAAATAACTACAGTTCTTCAATTTAAAATGCTACTTTTTATTATACCTGTGATACACTACATGTTCATCTCTCCCCCTGCACATCAGCTGGTTTCATTTTAGAGTTCTAACAGGCCTTACACAGGGCTGGTTACTGAGTTACATGCCTGCCTCCCAACTTGATGCTGCCATTCCTTCTCTGCAGGTGAGAATGATCTCAATTTTTACCAGAGCTTTTAAAGCACCAGAGACTTCAATCCCCTGCCCCCCCCCCAAAAAAACCCCAAATCCACCTGTACAGAAAAACTGAAATACTTCAACATTTGCTAGTATTTTTTGTTCTGTAAATGCTCAAATCAGGGAAATACCAGGATTATCAAGCCATTTTCATTTGGTCAGGATATTTTATGAACACATAAGTGAGGTGCTACTGGTTCAAGTCCAACTATGAAAATAATGAATGTGGTTCCCTTTGAAAACATAAGGTATCTCCAGGAATTTTATTTCTAAAAAGTAGCTTCTCATATTAGAAATATTCAATGTAATAAAGAGAACACGGCAAATTAAAATTAGCAGAGAATTTGGGCTAAGTTCCATACATTGTGCTAGAAAAAAATGGGGAGGGATAATATGAAAATGTGAAAACACTTAATTTTGAGGCTTTTGGGTTTTTTGATATTTCATTTCAAACCCGTCAAAAACTCCACATTGCTGTAATCTTATTGCAGGGGTCCCAGGCTGTTGTCTCCTTATCACAAAAGCTCCACACCTCCTTGGTGTTTCTGGTGGGCAGCTCTCAGAGCACTGACTCTGTTCCTCACAAAGCAGCCACTGACTCCAGATTCCTTCTCACCCAGCACCCCACTCTTTTAGAGCATCTTCTTCTCATTGGGTACAGCTGTGCCTGGTAAAGTCAGGCCTGCTCCTGATCTTTGATAGTTGGCCCAGCTGCAGCTCCTTAGGGGTGAGATAGTGTAGAAAGCTATCTTTATTTTCTTATAGTCTATCCCCCTACACCACAGCCTTTTCCTGAGAAGGGAACACCCATGCAGGCACCTCCTCTGCAGGTTCTGCAGGATAGCACACTTCCAATTACATCCAAATGCAAAGGGAAAAGCTCTCAGTGAGGGAAACTAGGGCAGCATTGGATCTTTTACCTTCAAACCCCACACTTCCATTCATTAGTGATTAAATTCCACCAGTTTATATAAACAGCAAATTACCATGACCACCAGGGGTCCTCTGTTCTTCTACTCCTGATGTTCTGTAAGAGC